TAGACCAATAGGAGAGCTGGAGAGGAATTCTTTGTCTGTGAGACACAGAGCCTCCTGCAGCCCCGCTGACAGTGGTGCAGCTGCATGCTGCCCCTTACTCATGGCTAAGTGAGAAAAGCACGATCTAGCCCTTAATTCTGTTTTGGAGTGCATGGGCAGATGGATTGCCAGACACTGTCGTTAGGGAGAAAGTTATCCCGTTAGCATTCATCACAGAATTGCAGGTGGGTTCACTGCTCATCCTTTGATGTGCTTAAAATCTGAGACATGAATACTAGCTGGGCTCGTGCCCATTTGAAAGCTGGCTGGGTTAAGGCCCCTTATAAGGATGTTTGTTACATTTCCCTGTATCTTCTCCAAGTATGTTTTGTTGAAGGTGGAGGTTTTGGGAAGAGTAGAGCGAGGGTGTGATACTGGGTTTCCCAAAGAAAGTTAGCCTGAGAGATTGTTGAATGTTAAGAACAACAACAACAGAGGGAAGGGGGAGAGAAGGCAGTTCTATTACTGTTAGAAGTGTACATGGAGAAATTTCCAGCTTTCAGTTCCATCCCCATCCACTTAGGAACAGAGAATGTATAACCTCCCCAGCCTCACTGATCACAGTTACCTCCCTTTCATTACTTCCATAGGCCCAGCCTACTGTCATAATTAGCTTGAAAACAATTTACCCTGTACAGTATTGAATCGTTACTATTGCTATGAGTTTGGTAGCCAAAGGCTGCCACTAAATGAATAAAGTAACACTCTTTAGTGAGCTGAGCTGTTTGACCAATACTTTCTCCATAGTCACCACTCATCACACTATTATTCTTGTGCAGTGTTTCTCAGACTTTTGTATTGGTGACCCCTTTCACACAGCAAGCCTCTGAGTGCAACCCCCCCCCCCTTATATATTAAAACCACTTTTTTATATTTAGCACTATTATAAATGCTGGAGGCAAAGTGGGGTTTGGGGTTGGAGGCTGACAGCTTGCAACCCCCCATGTAATAACCTCACGACTCCCAGTTTGAGAACCCCTGTTCTTGTGTGATTTAAGGCCTGCATTAACTAAAGTAGCTAACATAGTAAACCCCCCCCCCCAAGTGAGTCATTTTGTTCCTGGCCTTGTTTTCTGTGTTGTTGTTTATGACACCTCCAGGTGCAATGTGAAGTCCTCTTTCCTTTTCATGTTAAAAACAATATTTGTAAGAGAAGCTCTAGAAATGGTTTGCCTCACTGTGTGCGACACTTTTCCCCCCAAGTAGTTGCTGCTAAAATACTGCAAAATGATGACAAATTTGAAATGTGATGGAGTTTGAGCAAAATTTCATGATCCATTTTAGTGTCAAAACATTTTGTTAAGAGGTTGTGCACAGCTGTGATGGAAAACAATGTAAATGTATTTTGCTGAGAAGCTGTTTTTTCAGAATTCATCCATCATATTCAAATGCATTGTTCAGCATGAGACACACACACAAAAAACCCTGAAGAATGTCCCCTCCCACGCCAATTGAAGCTGTTCGTGAGATTGCAGAGTAAAATGCAAAGCTTCTGAAACCGGAGAACTGCCAGTCTCCCCCTCTTTTTGATGAAAATCAGCCAAACCAATTTTAACTAAATTGTGTGAAATAATTTTCTCTAGGACAGGAATATTATAAACCAAGGTTCAGCCTGCAGTGAAGTTTTTACAGCTGAGTTACAATGCCTTGGAAGTTGGGGATTTATGATTAAACCACTGATGGGACCTTTAATATTGTGATACAAATGGGCACCGTTATGTTCAAATCCCCTCTTTCAGGTTCTGAACTTTTAAAATAACAAAATACACAATAGGCGGTCAGTGTGTTGCTTAGTGGTGCACATTCACTAGGCTAACAGTTCTGCAACAAGATTTCAACCAGCTACCTGCTTCTCTACTGCCTTGCACCTTGTGCAGCCATTTACACAGAGGAAAGTGCATGTAAAATGCTCCCAGTTCGAATTCACACACTGGTAGTGTCCTGCATATGCTTTTGCATGGCTGTTACAGACTAGACAAGGTGTAATTGGAATTTGTCTGCCCACCTGTGTTTAAAACGCATAGCCTTGAGAAAAGTGCTATGAGATCTTTAATTTATTTAGTGTGTGCATAGCTGTCTAGCCAAGCGATGGCATCTTCAGTGGCATGATGCAGTTCTTCTAGGCCACCGCTGAACCTAGTCAGCAGGCATTCATCGACAATGCGCGTCATCATCTGTGTTGCTGCACAAAGGGCTGTCACGAAGGGCTGCACAGCTGCACAAAGGGCTGTCACGAAGGCCCCAGCAATACTGGTTGGCTGCACAGAAACCGTTGCCCGGTCCGGAACCTGTTCAACAGGGACCATTGGCAACGGGACAGGTCAAAACCAGGTGGGCAAATTGTAGGGTTGGCAACAAGGGACTGGTTGGGGATTATAACAGATATCCATTCCTCTCGCCAGAGTGTTTCCGTCCTAACATCCTGGCGTGGCGGATGAAATCATAATGGACGACTTGATGGAAAACGTGCAGCTTGTGGTTTAAAAAGGTCATTGTGCCCCGGCAGGCTTAAGTTGGCGCATACTTTCCTCAGTAACTTGCTAGTGGCAACCTCTCGTCTGATATGAGGAGGAGCAATATTGCTCAGAACTGGGAGCCTCGGGTGTGGAGTCAGACACAGGGTGCTGGAGATGATACTGATCACAAGTTGTCAGAATCTTGATTTTACACCTCACCCAAAAGGTGGATAACACCAGTGAATAGAAAAGTATTTAAACTTTTTGATTGCAATATTGTGAATGATCCAGTGGACATAATTTCTTCATTAATTAATGAGTCAATGTCCACTGGAAGCTAGCCCTGTAATGCTACTGAGACTGGCAAACTCTCTGATAACACGGATAGGTGCTTGAGTGATGCATCACACAAATGTTACAGAGTAATAGCTGTTAATATCAATCAAGGACTGTTGTGAATCTCTACAGAAAAAGCAACATCTTTACTCAACCATCAGCTATATTTTTGGCAACCATAATAGCTGTTTTACTCTCAGAAGACATAACTTTAGCCTGCAGCAAGTACTGTACTTCTAGTATTGAAGGGTAGATGAGACAATTTCCTTCCCCCCTGCCCAGAAGACTCATAAATGACATAAATGTTTGCCTGTTGGAGGGAGTCTTGGATGAAAGGCAGGATTCACTGAATGAATGAGACAGAATATAAAGAGAAAGTTTTAAATTCTGCCACTGGCTGGGGCACAGATCCTATTGACTTTTATGGGGGCTAAGTACACTCATCTAGGGGGAGAATGGAGCCAGGCAGAATACTAATTAGGGGGTATTTTTATCTGAATTCTTTCATTTGCTTTTATGTTGTACATTCAGTTGTTGGGATCCCATGCGATTCAGTAACAGTTTCACACCTTTACTGATGTTCCTCTTTACACGTCTCCATTTGCTATTAAAATGTCATCTTCTCTGGCAGCTATAGCTAGTTTTACATGCTGTATAACTATTAATGCACTGCCCTGATCCCGCTACAGTTAAAGGTCTTTCAGTCCTTCCATTCATTCAAAAGTCTGCAAACCAATGGATTACAGATTAAATTGCATATATACATTTTCAGTTTAAGAAGACTCTTGTATGTAAAAATTTGAATACGGTTGTCTTTGGACATTTATTATTTGGTGAAGAATAAAACATAGATTACTTTTGCTTTTAAAATTGTAGAGGTTGTAGATGTATCATCTGGTTTGAGAGCCCTTTCACACTGTACAAGTGACTCTGGGATATGCTGTGGAATCTCCAAAGAGTGAATTCCCATGTACTTTGTTTGGTAGAGCTCAGGGGTGGGGGTGGGGGTAAAACTTATGGAGAGGGAGCTTCAGTTTGATTTAAGACAGAAAAGGCTGGGTGTTTTACATTCAGCTTAGAAAACAAATTCTAGTGATGGGAATTGGAGCTCAGTGTATCCCATTACCTTGATAGAATCCCACTGAGGCAGAAATACCCTGAGGAAGGTATGGTTGAGGGCTGAGTAATTGCTGATAGGTGCAGGGTATTGAGGTTACAAATAGTTATCCATGTCTGAGAACTGAGGAAATTATCTTTTTAGTTATCTCCAAAGTTAAGGCATTAGTTCTGCCACCTGTACTTGCATTGAGTAATAACTTTTTCTTGACCTGTTATGTTGTGTGTGCCCATTTAGGTAAGTTAGGGGCTATGCAGAGCTGCTACTCCCCATCCCAAACTGGTGGGTGGCCAGCCAAGTAACAGCTCCACCCTGTAGTACGTGAGGGAACTTTTCTGTGCCAGTATATTGAGGACCTATGCTGCTTCAGCGATAGGGCTGGTGCAAAGTACATTCACCTGCAGTGTGTTTGTGTAGACCTCTGCGACAAACTGAGATTTTTTTGAGTCTGTCTGGTTTCCAGGATGCTCTTGGGGCATTGTAGCAATGCACTTCCCCATACACAGGGTTTTGGTAAAACCATGATACATTGAAATCAACAGGACTCTGTACAGTAAGATACTACTTAGCATGGGTAAGAGTAGCAGAAACAGGCCCTAACCTTGCATAAATACCTATTTGCAATTATCCAGTTCTATTTGTTCATATTGTTTCTATAATTTGTGCATCCTGGTGTAACTCCATTTCCGATGTGTTAGGTTAACTAGTAGATGAGCAGCTTGTAAGCGAAGTTGAAATGGGCAACCTCTAATGCAGTTCGTTTTGCCTTTGCTCAGGGACAAACCAAGAAGAAACACTTCGGAGATGCCAGCAGTAGAGGGCTGTAGTAGCTTAAAAAGAAACACTCAAAAACTGTTACAGTGGGGTACAGAGAGTCATAACTGGTTTCACATAGCCTAGCAGGACATACTACTCAGGATCACTTTTATTGAAAGATACATTAACATAACGGCCTGACTATTTGATTTCACTAAAACTTCTCGAACAATGTTACCATAGTCCTTTCCTTGAACAAATGTTGAGTTGTTCATTTTTTTTTCTCTTCTCCCCAGGATGAAAAGAATCAAGTTTTAACAACCAACATTTGGTTACAAATGGTAAGTTGTGAAACATAAAATATCTCTTCAAATGCAGCTTTAAATGTGCTTTTCATTTTCCACAAATATAAAACCCACATTCATGTTGCTTGCAAGTTGTTGTTTGTTCTGAGACATACAGGACAGCTTTGAGGTGATACATCCTGTAGAATAAAGGATTCTGGGTTTAAGGTTTTAGACTGTCAGGAGAAGGACTTCACATCGTCTCATAGATACTTATAAAATTGTATGAGTTGTATTGTTGTACCATATCTGAAGGATTTATAAACTCAATACATTGCATTTGTTTCAGTCACTTTAAACACTGGATTACTGCAAGATATTGCAGTCCTAAGGGGTCCCAGGTAGTGATACTTACAGTATCGTAGAAAATGCACCCACTGCAACAAATCTGGCATCTTTTCTTAAATCATATTTGATAGTGAAAGAGAACATGAAATACAATTTCACACGTTTACATAAATATTTTGCCAACCTTGTCGATATAGTGAGTATTCTGAGACTCTCTAGACATTTCTTCTTATCCCAAAGGAGTTATTTATTCCTGTGGTCTGTTGCCATTCTCCTAAGGATATCAGTCTTTCCATGTTTGCTACTTTTACTGTCTTGTCTCTTTTTAGAAACTGCAAGAGGATTTTAATCAAATGCCTATGATTGCAAGTGATACCTAAAATAAATTCTTTATACATAGTACTGTGTCAAAAGTAACTGTGAAAAGAAAGGAATTATTTAGGTTGAATGTCCATAATGCCAAGACTTAGTTGCATGCAGAACATGGGTAATGGCACACACTGTCTCCAGTTGCCTAATGTTCAATTATGGGCACATTCATGCATTTTCCTTGTGCTCCTATTTGTTTTGTGAAGTATGGTAGGGTGCACATTTTCAAAATTTAGCCCTATCTTTAACTATGCTGCAGTGACAAATTCTTGACACAGAACCCTTACCCTGCAGTTACCATTAAATACCAAATTCTCTACTGATGTAAATTGGTGGATGTTAAATGATCGTAGTAAAGCTATGCTAATTTACACCATCAGAAAATCTGGCCCTATACAATTTAATTCTTGACATTATGGGAACAGATGGCAAATGGGCTTCACTCATGTTTTGACAATTGGAAGATACAGTGGAATTTTAAAAGGCATAACCTTGCGAGGGGTTTTTTTTTCCTTTTTTAATTTCACTAATGCCCATTCATATTTACTTTGATTTGACTTGTAATATTTTCCCATAAGCTTGGCATTAATGTAGGCTTTGGACTGACTCATTCCAAGTTGGAGCCATTGCCGTTTAATGGGCCCGGGCTGACACTGAAAGAGCAAAAGTAGGAGGATGAATGAAAGCAAGGAGAATTATTCACATGCTTTGGCACTTTCCTTTGGGTTTACATCACATCTCTGACATTTACAATTTTATATGGAAACAACAACACATAATTCCTTTCTGCTTCTACCACAAAGCTTGTGGGAACCACCTCCACTCACAATGTACTATAACTGTTTGCTCAGTCCTTATTTGGACAAAAGAAGGTCAGATAGGAGAGGGAGATTGCAGTGTCTGGTTTTTAGCAGGGGAGGCTATGAGCACAGATAGAGTGCTTTGCTTCTGCTCACACATGCAGAACAGGATGCTCACCTCCCTGGGCAGTACCTCCAGTGAGAGAGAGCCCTCAGGATTATTGTTTCTTGCTCTCCTGCCTGATGAGGCAGGGACTTCATACCACTAGATGGAGAGACTGCCATAGGTTGTCAGTGCTTCCTGAGACTGGGTTGGGGGAGGAGATGCGGAGCTCTCCCTCCACTTTCTGTAGAGGGGATAGGAACTTTCCTTTCCTTTAACTGCTGCTTGTAACAGAGAACCTGAACTCAAGTGGTAGTTTACAGAACAGTTTTATTGTTCAAAACAACTCTGTTGTGTCGGCAGAAATTTGATCTCTCTTGCTTTACTCAAAATGATAAACTCACTCAGTTTAATTCTTTCTCTGAGAGTCCATCTTTTTCCTTTTGCTATAACTTTTATAGAATGCCTCTCTCATTCTGGCAGATCTTAGGATACAAATGAAAGACAATTTTGGAAAGCTACTGAGGATAGTGTGATTGTTACATCTGTTCACAAAGAGAGGCTGATGTGGAGGAAGCAGTCAGCTCATGCTATTTACACAGTAGTTTTACAATAAGATCAAAATTGTCAAATATAATCTGTTTCCCGCTCTGAGTTGCAGTGACATCAGTCACTGTGATTTCTAAACACAGGATAAGAAACAATAGTTCATTTTCCAAAGACTATAATTTACTTATTTTGTCTTTTATGTTTCTCTTCTTCCTGTTTCCTTATTTTTTTGTTTTTTTTCCTAAGGGAATTCTTAATTCTTTTACACTGTCAGATTAAGTTTCTTTTCATTTATTTGTTCTTGTATTCTATATGGTGCAGGGAAGACACTAGTTCCCAGATCAGCTGTTTACTATCAATACTGTAACTGCTGCTTGTGGCCAATGTGTAGACTAAGTTTATATGAACAGTAAAAGAATCAATGTTGTAAGTGATTTTGTATGGCTAGTCTGATAACAAATAACAATACAATTCATAGATCGGCCTGATTCAAAACCCATTGAATTCAGTGGCCATCTTTCTATTATGTTATCTTGTGTGGATTAAGAAGAATGACTTTCACTGCATTTGTGTGATTCGACAATAAAAGGTGCTTATATTTCTGATTATAATTACTGATACCAGCAGTATCTGATATATGTTTATCTGTCCATCATCCAAGTGCCTAAATGCTAAGTGTTTATCTCTTGAGGTAAAAAATATAAACCTGATGTTTGCACATTAAACTCTTGCTCCTGCTTTACCTTAAGGGATATCCCCTTCCTACATGGAGATAGTCAAGAGTAACCCTGAATATCCTCTAGGTTACAGCAGGACCCAGGAGGGACTTCAGCTGGTCCCAGAGCTGCTCCCTATTTTCACGTGCACCAAGTATATCTTGGAGAATCTAGCCTCAAATTTTAAAAAGTGTGCACAATTTGGGTGTGCAAATGCCATAGTGCACATGCCTAAGGTGAATGCTCACAAAAGAGCACATGTTAGTGTGAAGATTTGACCCAGTTAGACTAAGTAAGAGGTTTCCAAACTCTCTTCCTAGTGTGGACCACATTTTAATGAATAGATTTTCTTTCATGGACCATCTCCTGCCCATTCATCATCACATCATGTCCATATGGCAACTACAGAAATTGCTTACTTGGAAAGTAGTAATAGGAAAATATTTAACGTCTAACTATCGTTTAATGCAATTTAGTAGCTGGAAATGAGAAGGAGAGCCAGCACCATGTAACCAGCCAGTTGCCTGGACAGCCACCAAGTGCTCTGTGTACCATAGTCTGGGAACCTCTGATCAAAATGAAATACAGAATGGATAGTACTTCCTATCAAAACAGCTTAAAATTAATTCCCTGAAGCCAGCAAGTACACATTGTTTTGAAAGGAATGTGGCAGCCACAAGGGCCGGGTTCAGTAGCTAGGTGCTCCTTTTCAACAATTCAACACAAAACTGGCTCAAGCCCCCACCCAGTGACCGGGGACAATTATACACCATGCCCTGGGTGCCTCTAAGAGGCACTACTTCCCCTCTCGCAAGCACAGAGTCTGAGCCCTGCTGGCTGCTTGCCACGCCTCTCCACCAGCTGCCCACACCTCTCCACCAGCTGCTGACTCATCAAGATGTCTTCAGGGCCCACCACTTAACACAGCTCTCACTGATTTCAGCTGTTAGTGAGGGAGCCTCACTGCTGGTGCACAGTGGGCAATGTCTTGCAATAGAGACACTATCCCAAAGTAGGTCTAATGCTTAGACTTAGATATCAGTGATTTCAGCTCTGCAGGGTGTAATAAGACTCTCAATTAGCTCTTTCATTATACCTGGAGAGAGGAAGGGTCAAATGGTGTCTAGGTCCCTTACAGAGGGCCCACACCACCAGGTACAAATACCTAGCCACACCTTTTCTCAACTGATTGGGCTTTGGAACCCATGTCCCCTGCCTAGTGAGTGCCGTTCAGTTGATGATGAGTCCCTCCATTGGCGTATGCCAGGTACAGTTCTGCTGCCCTCGGTTCACACAACAAGGATAACAACACTTTATTACGCCTGTCCCAATGACAAGGAGACTGGGGATCCAGCACCAGCCACAAGTGATCCTTTGGGCAAGAAATCCCATCATGCTGAGCACCTAGGCAAGGTGGGTGTGTCCATACAAATACAATCAGCTCCTGAAGTCCTTTTCGACTGCTTACTACTAGATGTCAGGGGAGAGCTCATTCATACTCTGCTTACACATGTAAAATATTTGTCCATGCTAGTAGACTCAATCAAAAATCCAGATGCAGGAATAGACTCAACATTGCTACACACTGCAAGAAGGGGAGGGACCAAAAAAAAAATCATATTTATTTTCACAAGGATCCGGAAGTTGACAAGTTAAAAATGACAAAAAGGTTTCAGGCATAATGCAGTTATTATAAAAACTGGCATAGGTAAGGTGCTTTAGCAGAAATTGGAAGACAGGAAATAATTGTTTAGCTTATGGAAAATGTGGAACTTGAGCAATTCAGACTGTTTGATTAAAAAGAATTGTTAGTGGAATAAGCAGGGCGGGGGAGGTCCCAAAGGTACTTAGATATCCTGGTTTAAGTCTACATCGAGCAACTGACATCTGTAGAGCTAAAGGAGCAAACAACATACTGCTTGGATCATTCGTCAGGCTGACAGTGTTGTAAACAAATTAGCCAAAGGGTGAGAAGCACATATTTCAGCAAACTCTATAGCGATGACTATAGAAAAGTCAAAAGTGTCCAGTACATGGTGTCACATGTACAGCATGCAGCAAAACTAATCACTTTGAAACAGTGCTACTCTAACAACACAATTTTGTTAAGCCAAAATGTTTAAAAAAATAAAATAATCTTGAATGTGAGTAACAGGAGTCTGATTGGGGCAGCAGAATGATGAGGGAGGTAAACCCAAGTAGAATTTGTCTATCCCCTAAAGATTTAAACAAAGCAATTGGTTGTGACCCCATGAGAATGATAGATAATGTTTCCAGAATGCCCGAGGTAAAAATTTTTCTGTTCTAAATGCCTGTCAAAGGTTTTTGGCAAGTGCCATTGGATGATTAAAATTCCATATTGTGTGCATTTAATGTCCTGTTTAGAAAGTCTATGTTTAAAAGCCTGCCATTTGGCTTTGGAGCAGCCCTGCAAGTACTGAAGCATTATATGGGAGATATCTGATGGCTAGTTTGGGTGGAAGTTAATGCAGGGGAATGGGGGTTGTATAATGAAAGGTATGTAAAATGTCACAGAAACTATGAGAGAAATCAAATCAAGTTAAAGCAAATTGCCAATATGAGCTAAAAAGGAAATTGTCCACATGTTCAGTGAACACAATGTTAAACCTTACCAAAAAAATGTGGAAGCTCTTTGTGAGATAGAACTGCCACAAGGGAAAGATGCACTTCAAAGATTCATGGTATGCGCATGTATCATACTATAATCACCCCTTCCCACTGCGTACATGGGTACTACCTCTGCTTCCTGACAAAAATGCCAGTTGATATGGGGTGAAGTGCAAGCTCAGTGTCAAGAAAATAAAACACTTCAAAAGCTATTTGCATGCCTTACTTTGATTTAATCAACCTGTAAAGCTCTAAGTATGCAATTTCATGTGGCTTGGCAGCAGCGCTATTGGGAACAGGCCACCCCTAAGCCATTGCTGCCTTCTTGTAATAATAGTCTTTGATATTAAATGGTAACCAGGAAAATAACTTCTGTTGAGGCACCAATTCAGCAATAACTCTAAGCACGTGCTTAGGTGACTTAGGGCTACAAGGACCTACTAAGCCTAAAAGGTCTTCTGTACTGAATAATATTGAAGACGACTTTGAGGTTACTGTGACACACGTCATAATTCTGGCCACAAAAGCATATGACAGGCTAAAGCCTGAACCCCATTCAAATATAGCTTTGCAGAAGCTGAAGGAGACAATTGTACAAGAGTAAGCAGAAGAGAAGTCATTACCTTTTTGGGTTTATCATGATGAGCTAAGTGTATGAGAGGTCATTACACAGGAAATGCTAGAAAGGCTTCATAGTGAACATACTCATTTAAAAACCAAGGAAAGAGCCAGATCCGCATTCTAGATTCTTGTCTACAGCTAAGAAGCATACAGCCCAACTTGAAGCCACCTTTCTGCTCCCCCCAAATTTAGGTTGTCAGTGTGCCAGACTAGTCTCCCATTGTAAATTAGAGGAGCCCAAGGACCTCTCTAAATTACAATGGCTGCAAAGAGGATTTTTCCAAAGGGACTGTTATAGCAACTAAGAAATGCTAGATAACAGGAAAGCCGCTGGTCATGTCCCTCGTTTTCTGTGCTGTCTAGAAGGAGCTATTAGGAACTGCTGTGCCAGTTGTGCCACTGGAAGATTCCCCTACATTGGGGTGATCCGCTGGTGGCTGGCTAGGCCAGCTTTAGGGCTTCTTTGTGCTGGCAGTGTGGTGCAACGTGGCTACAGTGCAGGCGATAACGTGGCCCATCCTTTTGTTGGATAAGCATGTCGGTATCACAGATGTAGTCTCAAAATTTGATGTATGTAAAAAATATAAATTGTAGTATTCCCAAGAGCTGTTATTGCCACGCAGTTCAAGATTGAGGTGGTCTTTTCCCTCTCAAAGTTGTTGACCAGTTGGTGTGCAGCTATTCTTAGAATAATAGTCAAACATGAGCCAAACACATCGTGGGTTTGAGTCTGCCACACTTATTCATGCTGCGCAGGACGTAACGGAGCGCGGTTTCAATATTAAGATGCACGTTTATGGAAAAGCACAGTTTAAATCTGATTTTAAGCTGTTTACTCCCCTCCCCCCCCAAATGTCCTGTCTGCTGATTACCACAAATTGTGAGCGAGCTGCTTGCAGCTTAGTGGTCAAAGGGATTGTCTTGTTTATGGAGAGCAGTAGCGGGTCTTGAAACCCTGACCCATTTATTGGAATTTTTCTGAATTTTCGTCTGGATGTTTCCATGTGATGTGTCTGGGCCAAATATAGTGAGAACAACCTTGCTCGTGGCACAAAACCAGGACAGCAGCCGTGCACGCACAGTTTTTAAAAACCAAGTGAATTGAACTTTTGCAAACCTCTGGAAAGATTTGTGTGATGTTTCTGGCCAGTTATTTTATCCAATTTTGACTCATTTCCTAAAAAATGGTCACTAAAATTATTGCAGTCAAAGTGTGATACAGTTGATGATGGGAGATGAGATCCCTGACATTAATGCATTTTACATTCATTGCTTAAAGAGTGACAGATCCAGACCTTCTAACAACACAGGATTAACTAACCCTGAACTAAAAGCCTCATCTTGACCATTGTTGCTTGCACTGGGCTGAGCAGCTATCTATGGGAGTTGTGTTCAGCATGTCTCAGGATAGGGCCCATAGTTTGCAAAACCACAGCAATTAACATTCTTTTTTGAAGGTGGAAAACATGGACTGAAACTCTTTCATAACAGACATTCTTTTCTGTAGTAGATTTGCATTGTTTCATTTAGAGGCTGGAAATTCAGTAGTGTAACCCTTATCAGAAGAGACTCTTGGCTGCTATACCCAAAGTGCCTCTAAATGGTTACATAATCCAGTCATTTTTAACAAAAGGAACTATCCAAGTTATGTCTCAGAAGAGAAATGTGATTGGAATTAGTATTAGTATTAAAAAAAATCTGTTCTATTCTAATTTTGTGCTCAAGACAGCACGAACAATAGAATACAAGCATATTGAACCTGCTTTTGTAGGCTGTTGCATGCGATCGCAACAGCTAAACTAAAAATGGGATTTTTGTTCTTTGCATGTTATTTTCAAGGTGGCTAAAATCATTCTTTCTAAACAACATTGTCTGAAGCTAAATAATACTTTTAAAATAAAAATAAACTTTGATTGGTTGGGGCTAGATAATCCCGAGAGAGAGGCAGCGAGTGGAAAAAAGTGACACTAACACATTTCTTTGTGTCAGTATTGGACAGATTACTATTTACAATGGAACATGTCGGACTACCCCGGAGTGAAGAATGTTCGTTTTCCTGATGGTCAGATTTGGAAGCCAGATATTCTTCTGTACAACAGGTAGGCACATCTTCATGAAAAGAAAGCATAATTATTCCTTTAGAATGTCTAGGTGTTGGGTACTAACATTCAGTGTATGGAAAGCAACCATTATGGTATTTACAACAAGAAAGATGATGATGCAAGTGCTTACCAAAAAACATAGTTTAAGTTTCAGATAAAGTGTGATTATTAGAAAACTAAACTTTACTTGCACTGTTGATGATGTGAGGACAATTTTCCCCTGCTCCTGGCTGAAATGTCACTCTTTTTAAAGAGCTTGATTGCCTGTAGGCCAGCTCTTACTCTTTGTCCAGCTATGCAGGAAGAAGGCCAGGAGACACTGGATGTGCTTTAATTAGTCTGCAGCTTTATTCCTAAATGTCTGGGACTACCTGGCAGATAAAAGTGTGCAATGCAGGTATGCCACAGTCATTTACATATACCTGCCCCTTTACCCATCCTGGTCCCCAGCCAACCTGCTACTGGGACCCCGCCAGGCCCCCCTAAATGAGGTCTAAGGGGGGACTATGGAGGGTGGGAGGGGTTTGGCTCCCTCCCGTACCACTCATAGGAGCCCCAATCTCCTCTTGTTTCCACTCCTTTAAAGAATACTTCTTCTAAATCCCTTACCAGTCCATTTCACCTGATTGTTGTGTTCCTTCGCTACGGAGTACCTGCACTTGACATCCTCTCCATGCCTACATAATGAGTTGCAACATCACAGCCTACCCCTGCCCCATTTCATGTTCACCCAAACTGAGCCTCCAACCTGCTGTGGGAAGGAAAAAAGCCACCACGTCACTTTGGCCAATCTGGCATTGAGGAAAAAAGTCCTTCCCAGCCACTGAGAGAGGACCAACTAGCATAATTCACACAGCAAATCATGGCAGACCCTGGTATTTAACTAGTCCCAGGGGTGGGAAGGTGAGTGCTGTTCCACTTGATCCTGGTAAAAGAGGGCTTTTCCTGCCCCAGTGTGGACCTAAATAGACCCCCTCTTCTGGTCATCTGTTGGGGAGAGATCTCAGTGTCCCCACTCTGACCTGGGCTGAAGTTGCCACAGCAAATCACTGGCTTTCTAGCCCTCAAAGAGGCCACACACCTTTTCCTTATTCTCCTGTCCAATGCTGCTGTCTGTGCTCCCCCAAGCTATAGGAAATGTTAGCATACCATTTAAGGAACTGCTGCTGTCTTCTCTAAACAATTGACTCTAATTCTTTCAGGGCAGGCAGGTAGATAGCAGCAGAAATTACCAATTGCTCAATGAAGGGAGTCTGGGCGGCACTGATAAATCCTCGTCTTGCATCTTTATCTGCCAGCTTCATTTGTGGAATTTGGTTAATAGCAAAGATGGTACATTACTACTCAGTTTGTGTGTTTAAAGTATATTCTGTGCTGAAGAAATGGGCTGAAAAATGATGCAGCAGCAAAATTAGTACAAGGGTAATTTTGTATGAACTCTTGTGAAAACTATGAAACTTAAAAAAAATTACATAAAATATTTCCAGCGAATCACTTACTCAGTTAATTTTTAGATGGGTTCACCCAAAGGCCATAATGAAACTTTCAAAGCAGCCTTAACTATGGAATCCCTTTATTTTATGGTGTTCCGGTAGTAAGTCTGAGTTGAGTACACGTGCTAGTACATTCAGGACTTCATACCAGGAGTATCACCTATTGATAAATACACTGCAAAACCAAAAGCCATCTAAACTTATTTAATAATAAAGATGCCATATCCTATTCTCATTCATCCATCAAGTAGAAGTCTCATTAACTTTAATAGGAGTTTTGTGTGAAAACTGGGTGTAGAATAATGTCTTTAATCTTCAATATTTTGTTAAGACAAGATTCATAGTCCATTGATAAATACTTGGTGCTGCCACTTTGATTACTAAAAATACTTGATGGAGTAGGAGATGAACTGTGGGTTTGTTTTGCGCATGAAATGTAATTTGATGAGTAGGCATCACCACAGTGTAACAAACCCCAAAGTATTCTATTAGCATTTGTTCTGACAGTGCTGAGTGTATCTAGCCTTTGGCAGCGTGTAGTCAGTTTTTCTGCAGGTTTCAGAATCAGTGAGAACTGCCTGTTAAAGCATGTCATTTATTTGAACGGCAAGACTTTTCTTCACCATAAGACATTAGTCTGAGATACTCTTTCAATAATGTATATATTATGCATGGATTCATGATGTACATCTAAGAGAAGCTTTGAGAAATATAAAGACTGTTTGGTATTGCAGAAGTAAATCTATTTGGATATATTCTGTCCTGATTATACCCTCTGCAACCCCAATGTAATCCACAGGATTGCATGGGTTACTCACAGGGCAGAATTTAGCCCTGTGGGGCCCAATGCTACTCTTTTGAATTCAAATTTCTCTTCAGTGTTATGAAAATAAATTATTTCACTTCACTAATATTAACACCTTTCAGAATTACCTTGATTACACTAATTGCCTCATACAGTCCAAGGCTCTACAATACTGTAAAAATGAGACCATCTGTCTTTACATTGCAGTTGCCCAATAGCTTTTCTTCTGTTGTGTTCAGACAACATAGCGTGCAGTCTTCCTGGAGGAGCAGGATTGATTACCAATAAGCACTGTGGCTGAGGGTCACAATGGTATTGAACAGATGTATGTGAACTGATTCATTGTGCTTCTAGTTCCAGTTTTACATAGCATTTTAAAAAATATGTATTTAGCTAATTTATTCTTAAGAAAAGCCAGGTGTGGGGGAATGGGTCTCACGCCAGAGCTGGAGACAGGAGAGGATATGTGTGTGAGGAGATAGATGAATGGGGATATGAACCATATCAGGAGAAGTGAGAGCAGATTCCAACAGTAATTTCAGTGCTACTGTCACCAAAGTTCTATCAGGAGCTCAGATATGTTACTTTTACAGCAAAGTTGACTGAGTTTTAAACAGATTTTTTTTAAAGCTTCTACTCAAAATGTATAAAGTGGAAAAGAGAGCCTTCAGCTAGCAAAATCTACTTTGTTGTGTATTTGTATTGTCACGGATCTTGATGGCTTTTGGATTTAGTAGAATTTGCTATTTGAGCACCTTTCATGTAATGTTGGATCAACATCATATATGATATATTGTAGGTTTCTGTTATGAAACAAAAGGAGCTTTATTGTAGTTCCTTTGTGAGATAAGTGTGCTCTCCATCCTTTTGTCTAAATCCAACAAGTCAGATTCTGCCCTTACTTATACTCATACAGCAGCTTCTTTGTACAGCTTTTATCTCACTCCTTTTTAAGAAAAAAATCCATAAACAAGCTGGGAGCAGACTTTGGCACCAAATTGAGTCTGTAATACATGCATATGTGCACCCCAACTACAATCATCACAAATACCTGTTTGTATACGGACACTTATTTTGTATGTGCAGATTTTGTGTGCGCAACTCAGATGGCCATATTTGAAAATTTATCTCCAAAACTTTAATTTGATACTCAGAGTAACTATTCTATAGCAGAATTACAATTTCCAATAATGGTGTGTTTGTTTGTTTGTGTCTGTGTGTGTCTGTGTAATATAATCAGTACCATATGTTATCAGCTAGTTCTCTTATACCAATACAGACATAAATGTCACATGACCATAAAATCATAAATGGGTATAATACACAGTTTTTAAAATAAAAACGAGGAGTCCGATGGGACCTTAAAGACTAACAGATTTATTTGGGCTTAAGCTTTTGTGGGTAAAAAACCCACTTCTTCAAATGCAACTTCATGGCACTTCTTCAGATGTGCCATGTTACAAAGCACCCATCCATACTGATTTTTGTGTTAAACATTTCTTTGCTGGATCAGTTTGCCTCCCTGTTGAAATGAATAGGATAAAAAGTTTTCATGGAAGTTGCAGGACTGATATTTGCCATAAAGGATGGGTGAGAGCATGAGGAAAAACAGCTTCAATTATTTAAAAACCTCCATCTGTAGACACTGAACATCTTTAATTTAGTGCCTCTGACCAGAGCATTCCTCTTTGTGTCAAAATCTGCTGAATGCTAACAAAAATGACCAATGCATTGTCAATATTGTTTTCTGCAGGGCAAAATAATTAAAGAACCTATCAAACAAAACTTACCTTAAAACCTCTCTCCTCCTGTTTTGGTGATGAATAACTATAGCATTTTCAGTCTATATATTCATTTCACTTGTGCTGATGATGAAATTGCATATATGTGCATGTGCATCTCCATGTGTCTTGTAGAATCAGATACATCACCTGCATATTCAAGGACCGTAACTGATTGTATAGCAGTGTTTGCCAGCATACAGTATCTGAGAGCAGGATTAAGCCAAAGGCTTGCTTAAATATTGCCAGGTTGTTGACATTTGTTTTCACTCCTCTGGTTACCAATGTTGCTCATCTGAAGTAACACTGTTCTCATTTCACTCTCAGCTGTGGTCTTTGCACACTTTGCAAATACATTCTACAACTTATAATGGGAAAATAACAAGTACTCAGATTAAATATGTATGCTGTATACTCATATTTTTTCCTGCATGGTACCTCAGAACAAAGGACATGCGGCTAGAGTTTCAAAATTTTTGCCTTGAATAGCACAAAAACTAGAAATGGAATGAGGAAAGCACTCAAGCATGTACTTAAGTGCATCTCTGTTCAGAACAGCTTGCGTCACTGTAAGCCTATGCTTAAGTGTTGAACTGACTAGGATTGCCTCCCTGAATTGGAGCCTAACTGATGAGTTTGAAAGAGTGAAATGAAATCAAATGAAACATAAAAATGCTTGACAATGTGGGACCGATTGCAGGCACAAGCATTCTCCCCTCCCTCCACCCCGCTTTGCAACAAGAATCAGCAACTGGGAAGCGGGAGGCAGGGGGCTCTGTGCCATTAGAGCCGAAACCATGTGTATTGGATGCTGAAAGTGTGGAATAAGAGCCAGGCCATAGCCAAGTCCTTCTCTTCAGCGGCTAGCAGAGCAGAGTAGATAGCATGCTGCACCTCTCCAAGGATAGTATAGCTCCT